CTACCGACAACTAATCAACTTGAACCATGCATTGCTCGAAAAACGGCCAGAATGGGACACGAGACACGAACGAGTGATATTGCAGCACGACAACGCTCCGTGCCATCGCACTTCCATCGTCCAGGATACCATTAAAACGCTGAAATGGGATCGGCTACCGTACCCGCCGTATTCACCAGACTGGGCCTCTTCCGATTATCACTTGTTCCAGTCGATGGCGCATGACTTGGCTGGGCTACACTTGGCCAATTTCGAAGAAGTGCAAAATTGGTTGGATGAATGGTTTCGGTCCAAAGACGCGTCGTTTTATCGTCGCGGTATTCATATATTGCCAGAGAGATGGCAAAAATGTGTAGCTAGCGAAGGACGATACTTTGAATAAACCATTTTTTGTATTTCTCTTGAAATTTTCCATTTTTCATTGATCAAAAAACGCGAAAACTTAGTTGCGCACATAGTATATATGTACATCAAATTCTTTACAATATATGATAATTTAACAAGAATTTTTATATAATTTATATTTACAACAGTTTATACCAGTCATTGTATAATGAAATAATAACTATAATCCTCTTGAATAAGTTTGAAGCAAAACTAAATGTGACTAAAATATTTCAAACTACTACATCCAGTCTTATAACAACTCAAATAGAACAATCACGATGACATCAAAATTATGAGAAAATTATTTAAAAAATTTACTTTTCAGTTACAATTCTATCACTTCTTCATCATTTTGACTTCATCATTGTAACTTTTTATTCTACTTGGGAATAAAGCTTTTTTTAAAATGAAATTTTGCAAATATATAATGGTTTTTTGCTTTAAAAATATTTAAGATGTGATAATAACCCAAATAGCATAAAATTTTTAATGGATGTGGACTTCTTTAGATATTTTGGAAGTTTTTAGATTATCTTTCGGACGTCTCTCGAACATCCTGGAAAATTTTATACTGTCTAAGAATAGTTATTACCTTACTTTATATATGTTTCTATTCTTTAAATACTGTTACTGTTTCTATATCTAATCATATTTTATATAAATATAGGTAGTGAACAAACAATTAAATAATAATTCTATTAAGCTAAATCAGTCTCCAGGAGTTAAGAAATTACGATTAGAATTAGCTGCAAAACACACAAGTACAATTTCCTCCGATGATCTTATTCTTATCGAAATTAGAATATATTTACATACCACAGCCTGTCGAAGATTCTTTAAAATGGTGGAATGAAATGAAGTCCTCGTTCCAAGTTTATATAAACTAATGTGCTGTGTATATGCTGTACCACCCTTATAGAAATATCATACTAAGAATCATTGATAATTACTTATTTTCAGTATTAAAAATATTGGATTATAAGTAATTATCAGTGATTCTTAGTATGATATTTCTATAAGGGCAACCACAAGTTCTGCATCTGAACGTGCATTTTCTTCTGCAGGCTTACTAATTACAGCAAAACGTTCTTCTTTGAAACCATCAAAAGCTAATAAAATATTATTCATTCATGATAATTTTGAGTTAATAAAAAGTACATATTTTAAGTCAGTAAAATAGCTACATTATATGCAAAACTATATATACCCAGGAAAAACAAAGTATCATCGATGTTACAATGTCAGCTCAATTATATAGTATATTATGTAACTGTTACTTTGTTATATAACAAAGTAACAGTTACGTAATACTATATGATCAAGCGACACGGTAGTGTCGCAAAGCTAAGTGCAAGCGCGAACGGCCGTGTATACTTACGCCGCGACACTAGTTGATTGCACACCAGATTTCTTGTTTGACCATAACGGTTGAACAGATGAGATTCTAGATAGGCTCAATCGATTCCTTGGGTTTAAATTAGTTCATAAAACTGTCTTTACTTTTGCTCTACGTTCTCTAGAAGCTGAGATATTTTAGCTCAAAGTCCGAAATCGCTAAATTTTACGATTAAGGAATTCGTCGTCTGAGAAAATGTCCAGTTTGATATATTTGTCGTCAGAGGCGCTACGGCTCAGATCAGCTTGGGATGTCGGAAACTCGGTATGAGTCTGTTCTTTGTAGCTGCACTACACTGGTGTAATAAGTTAGAACAAAACAAAATATACTTTCTCACTTTAACTTATTGCACCAGTTCAGTAGTGCAGCTAAAAAGAACAGACCAAGTAGTATTTACATGGCAATTATTCAGTTTGTTGAGTGGTGTTGGGGGTACGCCTTTTGGTTGCCTGAAGCCATATTGAGAGAGAGAGAATTATTCAGTTTAGTGACCTCACCTCCGATTTCGATGAAAGTAGGCTCAAGCGACGCGTTTTTGTTAAAGAAACAACTTTTTTATTTGACAAAATCGTCGGTCTCTACTACAAAGCGAGATATTAATAGATAAAGTGA